CGTGTGCTCTTAAGATCTATGGCCCGGAACTTTTGGCGGGCACTGTATAACAGTTCATCCCTCCCACTAATTTGTGCTAAAAGGATACGATCCATCTTTTAAGCATTTGTGAGAAAAATGCGTTTAAAGATTTTCATGTCGTAATGTACCCGTCGGTAAAAGCGAGTCCGCAACAAGTAGTGTGGCGTAGCGAGTAAGGCACCTGACTATAAACCTGCATGTTGCTGGTTCGAATCTTATTTTTACCAATTTTATTTCATCTATATTGCATCGTATTATTGTGTATATGTATTTATTTATATTTATTTATATTTATATTTAACCTAAAAATTAACATTTTTATTATAAAATTTATTATATTTAAAATTATATAACTTATTTATTTAATATTCTTTACACATTATTAAACTTTATATCATTTTGATTACGCAGAAGTTCCTTCTTGGTAAGGGTATCTTTTATTGTATAATCATACACACTGTCTGAAAATTTGTTTTGTTTATGTGATTGGGTTACTGTGACGGTCTTGAGACCATTCTAAACCGTTCTATATTCATTCGTAATAAATAAGTTATATAATTTTAAATATAATAAATTTTATAACAAATATTAATTTGAGGTTAAATATAAAAAAAATACACATACACAATAATACAATGCAATATAGATGAAAAAAGATTAGTAAAAATAAGATTCAAACTAGCAACATACAAAATTACAGTCAGGCACCTTACTTGCTATGCCTAGAGTCCTAGAATACAGAGATGCGGACATTGAAGGATATGGTCTGATTGGCTCTGTAAATTACATGATCAAAGCGCCATTTTAATTCCCTATTGCATCTAATGCATCAAGACACAGCTTTGTAAAGTATGTACATATAAATTATATAGAGAAAAATTAAGACAATATAAAGTGTTGAAGTGCAATAAAAAGCTATTATTATGGTGTAAGTATTTTCTTTTGGCATGAATTGTCATCAGCTTATAAGGTTAGAAGTACTTATACTGAATTAAAATGGCAGTGACTACTTAACTCAACCGACGCAATGTCGCATCTCTGTATTCTAGAACTCTAGCTACGCTGCTTGTTGCGGACTCACTTTTACCGACGGATACATTACTAACATGAAAATCTTTAAACGCATTTTTCTCACAAATACTTGAGAGGTGGGTCGTATTCTTTTAGCACGAATTAGTGGGAGGGGTGAATTATTATATATATAAAATTTAGCCAAATCTGAGAAAGCCATGTCTAGTGTTTCCCTTGTTAGTAGGAGTACGTAACAGCTTAGCATGCAATGCGACTCTTCGCGCTTACTGTACATTCCCCCGATTAAAATTTTATTCTAATTTTTATAATTTTATTAATAAATAAGTACATTGAATAAATCAATAAATAGAATAGGTAAATAAATAAACGCACACAAACAACTAAATAAGTAAGAATAAATTACAATTAAAAATTTATCTAATTTCTGATTGTTTTTATTCTTATTTACTTATTTGTTTGTTTTTTTATTTGATTCAGTTATTTAATTTTGATAACTAACCTGTCAGCGATAGGAAAAACTAACTACGGGATGTTTGTCATACTTATAAAAGAAGATTATTGGCAAAAAACATTATCAAATAAATTGTGTCAATAACTTCTTCAAAAATTGTTTTGACATACATGATTCTTACGTATTTTTTAAATTATAGCGCTGTAAAATTAATTACGTACATTAATTATTTACGTATTCGTTAATTTCGGATTTAAAATCATAGCGCTATCAAAGGGAAAAAATATGTAAAAATCATACATGTTAACATTAAGAAATTATCAAAATAAATTACAACCAATTTGTATAAACAATTTCTTTAAAAACTGATTTCAAGTAAAAACTGATAGTTCCATCAGTTTTTACGAAAAAAAAAAAAACGTAATAATCATGCATGTCAAAATAATTTTTGAAGAAATTATTTACACACAATTTATTTTGATAATATTTTGTGCCAATAATCTTCTTTTGTAACCATAACAAACATCCCGTTAATTAGTTTTTCTCCATCGCTGATAAGTTAGCCATGAAAATTAAGTAACTGAATTAAACAAATAAATTAAATAATTGAATTAAACAAATAAATAATAAATAAGAATAAAAACCATCAAAAATTGGATTAATTTCTAACTAATTTCCAACTAATTTATTTTTATTTATTAATTTATTTATTTACCTACCCTATTTATTGATTTATTCATTTACTTATTTATTAATATGAAATATTAGAATAAAATTTGAATCAGGAGCATGTACAGTAAGCATGTAGAGAGCCGCATGGTATGCTACGCTCCTACGTACTCCGGCTAAGCGCGATCTGATTGATCAACTTTATTCGTTAATCTGTAAAATGGTCTGAGCCTGAAAAAAATCTTGGGAAAAAAATTTTTTCAAAATTTCGTTCTTTTTCCCTTGAGTCGCCTTGAAATATTAAGAGTTTTAAGACACCCTGTATAGATAATGTGCACCTTGTATTTTATATATACAGGGTGTCCCGTAACGCTTAATTAATATTTCAAGGCGTGAAAGAGAATGAAATTTTGAACTAAAAGTTCCTCTTTCAATTTTGGCTCAGATCATTATTTACAGAGTTATTAACAAATAAAG